CGATCATCAAAACAGTTCGTGCACCATTCGTGCGCGATGTGGACGTGCAAAGGATGTAAGCAACATCCGCTGTTCGTTTCTTAAACGAACAACTATTTCCAGAGCAACCTAACCCTGCCCTTAACCAAATTGTATGTTGTAAGGTATAAAAAAAAACACCTATAAATTAAGAAATGAATTGTCTCTAAATATTAGCTAGCTAATTACTTTTTTTTACGTTCAAATGTCACACAGCCTCAAATTACTATATGCGGATACCGAATTATATCAAATATGATCGAATTTTCGTGTTCGATACTTATTCGACTACAGAAAGAAAGAATGAATGACCTGCAAACACGAACGCGAATATCCAAACGTTCGCGTTCGATGTTCGTTCGTAGATATATACCCAGCTTAATAATAATTCGTAAAATATTAGATAAGTAGAAAAATTTTCGCTCTCTTCAGTCAATCTTATTATAATGCTTTTAACTCAATATAAAATATTGAATTTTACGAGTAATATTACATATATGTAATTACATTGTATAATAAACATATATTTAATATTACATATGTATATGTAATATTACATATATGTATTACATATATAATATACCCAACTTATATACTTTTCCATAGAACTTGTACTATTTTATTGAAATTCAGGAAGATTAGAATATCAGAAGACAACTAAAGCGTGTATACACCTAGCAAATGAACATTAAACGAACAGCGAACGCAAAAGTTAGTGTTTTATTTATTATATAAAAGTCGAACAAATTTAATTGCTATGTGCAACGAACATCGAATCTGCTCAAATGCTTACTATTCGGTGCAATAAAAAAATAATAAACTAGTTACAAATACAAACACGAATGTCCGAACATTCGCGTTCGTTCGTTCGCTAGGTGTATACGCGACTTTATACAAACTTTTCTCCTATGCAAAAACGTATACATACAAACGCACACACGCACATCCACACAAATTCACATTCATTCCACTTCATTCAATTGATGTGTACACACACATAGGTGTACCTATCTATGGATCCAGATACATATTCACACTTACACTCATCCATTAATCCATAAATACATTCACGCACATCCATCCACTGACCACACATGTGAACGTGTGCATGCACACACGTTATATACACGCGTGCGCACGTATGTATATATCAACATAATAATCAAAGTAAATTAGTTTTTTTTGTATTTGTATTTGGGAATATAAATTGATAGATGAAAAAAATTGATACAAACTTTTCTTAATTGTCTGTATCATGAATCTAAGAATATCTAAACATATCCTATATCTACAGTGAACATGAACTTTATGATAGTCAAAGATATATAGCTATTGATTGCAAAATAGAAAAAAAACTAATTTATTTTAATATAAAAGATGTTACATGATGTACTGTACAAACTAAAGCAATATGTTTCTAATAAATAAGTTGAAGTAGAAATTGTTCTATAAACATGAGTCTAATTATAGGTATCCTATAATTTTTAAACGAAAACGTCGTTCGTTTAACGTTTTCAAAAACAATTTTTTCCGAAAACATTATCTTTCCAAGATAGTCCAGTATCTCGACCTTTTTGTGACACCCTGTAGAGGAAAGCCCCCTATTATGAGATAGGCGCATAATATGAGATAGCGACGTTTCTGCTAAACTAATAAATTCTATCTGTTGATTCCACCATGAATTTATTGCTCTTAGGTTGAAAACTATTTAGTGGAAAATGCATTATTAGATCGTGCCTGTAGCCGTTGTAAAAAAAGATTTTAGATTTGAATTCTTCAAGTTTCATTGAGATGAGTCTTTAAACTTTGTTTATTATTTAATAAGTAAATATTTAACATAAATTCTTCATGTAGTAATAGAGTAAGATCGTATTAATAAATACAAAAATACGGGGTATGGTGAATTGCTTTATTATAGAAGTTGATTTGATCGTAAAACTGTAAGGCGTGGAACTCGTAATATGAGATACTCGGGTACTTCTAATACAAAATAACCTATGCTACTATGTTCGAGTGACAATAGTTGCTGAAGTATGAATGTTATTGTACTGTAATAAAAAGGATAACCAAAATGAGCATCGAATGCCTATTTCTGCGATGCTTGGTTCCAACTATCTGAAGACGAGTCCTGGATATAATGTATCGCATGCTCATTTTGCGCACATATTAGTTGTGTTTATTTGCATTTTAAAAACATTAAATAAAGTTTTTAATTGTAAACCTGATGTACTTTTTTGCCTTATTAGATTTTTCGGGATATCTCATATTATGAGCACAATTTTTTGACTTTGCGATTAGCTCACTTTTACATTTCTTTAATTTTTCCAGAAAAAATAGTATTTAAATTAAATTTTACATAACAGTATCTTAAAGCTTATTAAATTCTCTTTAAAATGACCTATTATTTTTTTTTATTCTGCCCATACACTGCCAGTATTTACACAAAATGAACTTGCTATCTCATAATAGGGACTTTTCCTCTTATGTACACACGAGGGAGAATCAAAAAGTAATTTCAATGTTATATATTAAACTAAGAGGTATACAGGGTGTATTTTGAACTGGATTAGTTTAGTTTTCTTTTCTATATGTTGAAAGCCTCGTAACTAAACCGAAGTGTTCCGAACCCGTTACGCTATAACTTACAAATTGTTCAACTATTGTCTATAGACATGAGACAAATGTTGTTAAACATGAGACAAATGTCGAAAAATAAAGAAAGGGATAACAAAAATGTAGTAAATGTGAATTTACTTTTAATATTTTTTAACATTTATTTTCATCAAGAAAATTCTGTATCTTCATCATAACTCTCACTTGAACTAGAACTTGTAAAGACTATCTTGAGTATCATCGCTTTATTTCTATTTAATTACATTTTTCATATTATATATTTATAAAAAAAAAAAAGCAAGCTTGTCAAATGCAAGTTACTGACTCTATTAAGGGTACATTCAGACTAGAAGCGTCAAGCAGCGAGCAGTAAACCAATCATATAAATATTTTTTATAGGGTAGTGATGTAAAAACTATTTATATGATAGGTTCGCTGCTTGCTGTTTGACGCTTCTAACCTAAACGCACCCTTACTGATTATGAGTTATAACAGCCGATGGGTTCAGAACATCTCTCGGTTTACGGGAGCTGTCAACATCCAGAAAAAAGTAAGCTAAACTAACCCAGTTCGGAATACATCAACAGATAAATATTATTTTATTTTTCAACATAACTCTTCTGCCGATTAACACACAGTGTCTCACGTCATGCTTAGCGCCGAGACACTATCGTGTCTCCAGATATCACGTATCTGTGTCTACATGCTTCACGATCCCTACAGAGAAGAACATTTTAGGTGGTTTTTGCAGCTACGAACGCACTGCTTCTTTGAATGAGAATGCAGAACCATAGCTAATGTTTTTTTTTTTCAGCGATCTTAGAAAGAGTAACCTGGTAATTTTGTTTAATGAGGACATTGATGCGATCCACATGATCCTGTGTACGAGATGTGGACACGTGACCAGAGCGAGATTCATCAAATACATTTGTTCTATCGATTAAAAATTTTTCGACTCACATGTACACATGTTTTGACTCATACATTTCTCTTCGCGAAGTAAAATAAATATATTGCACAATTATCCTACGACGAATTTGAACGGATTTGCACACCCTCAGCTCATAAAAATCTAATCATACTTCGCTGCTCAAAGCATTCAAACAATTAAGCAGACATGTTTACATATTTAAAAGTGCTATGTAACTAATGTAAGTTCAGAAGATTCTCGACTATATTAGCCACTTGTAACTAAAGGTCACACGCTCCTCCAAACCCCATTTATGAATCTGCCGTAACTCTGCTTGCATACGTAATGAGAACATTGATCTTACTTTTTGATTCGCCATATACCTATAGGTATATGGAACGATATATATGATGGAACTAAATTGGATTGAGTAATCGCATCATAAAGAATATTAAGATTGTTCTTTATTTTTTCACATGCATCATTAGGTTTGTTCGCGTCGCATGCTCCAATATGCTCTGATATGCTCTTATCATAGCTCCTATTTATTCCAACGAGCACGTTGAAGTAAGTAGCTATGATAGAAGCATGTTGAAGCATATTGGAGCATGCGACGCAACAAACCTATTAATACACTGCATTAATTCAACTCGAATATTAACCTTTCTACATTAAACTGTTCATAGCTCCACAGATAAAAATCTGAAGGTGTGAGATCCGGTGATAACCAAGCAAGATAGATAATCATTTCAAACTAGACCCATGTTTATTCTTTATTTCAATTTACATCAGAAACATGCTTCTTCAGTTTGTAATGTTATGTAACACGTTGTATAATGTGCGAGAAACGAAATTTATATCATTTTTCTAACATCATAACTTAACATAGCATTGTAGCGAGGGGCCAGGAGCCTTAATATAATAAGAAGGAGGGAGAAGAGAGCAGGCACATGTATAAAAACAAATTTTCATAGCTCGCGTTATCAGAAAAAATATAAATGATACATTTTTAGCACATTCAAGCTTATAGTATCTCAGAAAGGTACAAATAACATTTCTAAAATATGATATATATTTATAGACAATTTTTTGCATGAATTTGATCAATTTCGTGACAGACACTGTATCCCTTTTCCCCCGGTGGTATGCAATCAAAGAAAAAAGAAGAGAGAGGAATGTAAATATAATATATATGCGTCCATATGTAACTGTGTATGTATATATATTTATATATAAATAATATATATCACATATATGTATGCAATACATATAATATATATATGTATATACACATACACGTAAGTATATATGTATGTATGTATGTATGTATATATGTATGTATATAAAAATATCTGTCTACACTTTTTCTTTTCATTCAACAAATTGTAAGAGACTTTATTATTCTTAAATCGAGAGACAGAGGGAGACAGGCAAAGTCTGGCTGAGAGAGGGCGCTTACCCGGTCGAGGAAAGAAAATATTCCTTATTCACGCAGTTGCGTAAGCAGTCGGGTATGCGTCCGACGATCGCCCGTCGTATCTCACTCGCTGCCATCTCACGTAATTCGGTGCAACTCGCGTCGCTGTAGAAGGCGGCATGTGGAGTGCACAAAAGATTGGGTGCTTCTTTCAATGGACCTATACAATATACATCGACGATCAAGAAAATCAGAGAAATATGTCTGAATTTAACAATATAGAACGATTCTTCAGAAAATATATATGACACAGTGAAAATGAATTAAAATGAATATTTCATTTTCGAGCATCTTACTCTAATACTTTTATATAATATATAGAATGTTCAGAAGAATCTATTTAAGAAAATGTATGATTCTATGCAAAAAAAAAGGTAGGATTCAATTACAGAAAAAAAAGGTAATCGCATTTTTCAGTCCATCGTAAATTTAACTTACAAAAAATATAAGTTAATGGAAAAACATTATTATTATACCATTTAATTTTTGCCTTTCTTTCTTTCTTTAATGGAGCAAGTACTAGAAAATATTCCAATTGTGTGACGCACCCTACATATAATAATATAAAACAGAAATGTTTTATATAGAAATGTTACAAAATTATTTTCACCGTAAAATATACATCTTCGTTGTTTCTCTATTTAAAAAGATTTGCACTGCCGCTTATGGAAGTTTAGACACTCGCATAAATTTTTATTTTATCGAATGGTCATGTAAAAAATTAAGATATAAAACAGCGATTGTATTATTTTTTTTTTATATATTTAGGGTACCTGTACATACTAACACCAATTGTAAAAATTTTATAAATTATTTTTAATTTTATATGGCAAAATGTATTTATTTTATAAAACATTGATAGTATAATCGATAAATTTAAAAAATTCGTTCAAGGAACATATCGGAGCTGGCAAGAATGCAAGATATACTATAGCATGAGCCTACTGTCTTATTCTCCGAGTTGTGAAATTAATCGATTATACTACTAATGTTCTACAAAATAAAGATAATACATTTTAAAATATAAAATTAACAATTATTTATAAAGCTTTTGCAATTTATAAGTATGTGTACACAAGTACCCTAAAATATATTTAAAAAATATAATACAATTGTTTTATAATGTCATATAAGACCTATCAAGAAAATTGATGTGAATGTCTGAATTTCCATCAGTGTATGTCGTTTTTTTCGTTTTATTATGGAAGGAATTTAGGAAGGTTAAAGATAATCAGTCGAGACAGGGTTAGGCGCGGAGACAGATAAGACTCACACTGATTCGCAGACTGACCCTGAAAGACGTTGTATGGCTCATTTTCATGGACGTCTAGCGCTGCCGCGCGAATTCTACCCTGTTTGAGCGCCGCGGCCAGCGCGTCGTCATCCACCAAACCACCTCGTGCTGTATTGACTAAAAATGCTCCTGGTCTCATCTAAAACAAAGACAATGCAATTTTTTGTAATTACACATTACATTGATAATTATAAATGTTATGTACTATTGCAATTAAAAAATTATAATTACATAATTATATATTCATCTTTTTTTATTATAATTTAAATAAAATAAAAATTTTTAATTTTATTTATGAAAACACACGCACGATGCTGTATTGACTAAAAATGCTCCTGGTCTCATCTAAAACAAAGACAATGCAATTTTTTGTAATTACACATTACATTGATAATTATAAATGTTATGTACTATTGCAATTAAAAAATTATAATTACATAATTATATATTCATCTTTTTTTATTATAATTTAAATAAAATAAAAATTTTTAATTTTATTTATGAACACACACGCACGCACGCACACACACACACACACACACACACACACGATAGTTTCACAAAATTCATAGTATAAAGAAATTGAAATGTAACATTTTTTTAATAAATATATCTATGCATTTCAATATAAGTAATAAAACAAGAATAAATAAAAAATAATCATTTAAAAAGACTCTTATGTATAACCAAAATTAATTTTTTGTAAAATAATTAAATTAATACAATTAAATAACACCTCTATGCTATATAATAAACAAAATGTTTACAAATGTTTATAATTTTTAATACCTGTTTAATAGTATATTCGTTTATTAAATGATGATTGTGTTCATTCAAAGTACAGTGCAAAGATACACAATCTGATTGGAACAGCAAATCCTGGAACATAATAAAAAATAATATCAATTAAAAAATAAATTAAAGTTATTAAGAGAGAGAGAAATTTAAATATAATTTATATACAATTCAGAAATTTTTATAAAATATTGTACTTTATAATGTTGTACACAGAGTATTTCGTAAGAATGATTCGTTATTTTTAAACTAGAGATAATTTTTTCTGAAGAAAATCTTATATAAACGTATAATCTCGAAAAGCTTATTTCAGAGATATATATAGAATAAATATTAAAAATTGAAAATTTTATAAAATTGTTATTTAATAGTGCTTAAATAAGAAACATTCTTTTTCAAACTCAACTCGTAAATAGCTATTACCTTTTCTTTTTTATCTATAGTTGCCGTTTTATAATATATCTCAACACAGAAACAGAATTTAAATAGTATATTCACCATCCCAAAATTGTACGTCAAATCAAATTGTTTCACACATTTTTTATTTTATTACAATATATTCTTACAAGAGATATTTTTTTAATTATTAGTACACATTTTTTTTTCAATTAAAAGCTATTTAAGAAAAAATGATCATTCCATGGCATTTTTTACACTATGTATCTCTCTGAAACAAACCTTCAAGATTATTATATGTTCATGTAAATTTTTCTTTACAAGTGATTTCAAAAATCAATTCCTAAAATATTAGACAGAGCTTGACAAATACGATGTACATCATAATGAAGTTTATAATTTAGTTTAAAATACATTAAAAATGTTTCATATTTACATAATATATATCTAAATTGGTTTCTGAATAATATCCAAATCAATTGTTACAAATCATTGTTCAAATATTTAAAGAATTTATGCTTTATTCAAAAATAAGAAATTTATATCTTGTCATATCATATTCACAACATTTTTATAAATTTATATTTCTAAATGAACGCAATAGTTATATTGATTTTCTCAATAATATGAAATTTATAGACCATATACATAAAATAAATAATAAGCAGAATCTATACAATGCTCTTAAATCCTTTAACAAATTTTGACTCACATTATATCAAGGAAATAATATTTCCAAGTGGATAAAATATTAGCAATGTCTAGAATTAATTTATACTATCACTCACAAATATTTGCTCATCCTATCTTTCTTAATTAAACAAAGAATTTCGATAATTCTTCTTTCCTAATTTTCTAAATTAGGAAAGATTAGTTAGGCCTAATATATATATAATAATAATGTTTAGCTCAAAATTTTACTTTATATATATTGCTCCTTTATTTAAAAAATGACATAATTCAAAAAATTGAGCTTCCCATAAAAGACCTATTTTTTAACTTGACAAAAAATTATTAACCAATCAAGTAATCATGCATAAGTGAAAAAGGCCATATTCGATCAAGATGGGTCTTCGTGTCTAATCATATTTCTTTTGTGAAGTTATACAATTTCCAGTTCAAGCTATGCACTTATTATTTGGCAGTCTAACACAGTCTTAAACTGTGAAGCCGGAATAGTAATATCACAATTTAATAATTTCGATGCTCATAGGCATCTTAAAAGAATCTTAATATAAAATTTGTAAATAATTTATTTGCGAAAAATATTACCTCGGACAGGTATCAAACTCGGATCTTTTGCATTCCGTGCGAACATCATCATCGTTAAACCACCTAAGTCTTAGTAACATTTTTCGCAATCAAATAATATCGGGAAAAAATAAATATTTTCAACACGATCAAATGTCATTTTTTGTCATTTTTGTGTTCCACAATTCTTTATAAAAAATGAACTCTTTTTTAATTGTGATGATTTTAATAATTTTTTTATGAATTTAATTAACTTTTAATGACTAATGCTTACTTAATTCATTCATGTTAATAACTCGCAAATTATACTTTTTGAGTTGTGTCACTTTCGAAACAAGGAAGTGATATGTAAGAGAATGTAGTATAATTAGAACGGAATTATATAAAAGAGATTCGTACAGAAATCAAGATAGACAAACACTTTTGAGCGATAGTGTATAGCTTTATTTTGTTATACAAGTGCAGCTGCAAACCTGTAATGTATAAACCCTGGTGAGACCTAATGATTTCTCGATACCATCCGGCAGATAAGGATCGTAAAAGATGACGGTGAAGCCAAAAGCTTTGGCACGCAACGCAACTGCGGAACCAATCCTACCGAGGCCGACAATACCCAGTGTGTCGCCTCGTATCCTTGCACAACCAGTCGCCGCTTCTCTCACCTAAAATACACGCGCCAACGAAATGCGCGGAAAAATTTAGATCATATAGAAAATTACAAAATTATTTTAAACAATATTAATGTATTTCTAACAATATAATAGAGATATAATGATAGCAGTATATTTAATAGCATGAGCATAGCCAAAATTGGAGAACGGAGGAGTATATTATTTCTATCACATAAACAGTAACTTTTTATTAATTTTTTGTTAATAAATTGGCTTTTTTGGATATTTTAAAGTTTAGAATGTGTGTGTGTGTGTGTGTGTGTGTGTGTGTGTGTGTGTGTGTGTGTGTGTGTGTGTGTGATGTGTGTGTGTGTGTGTGTGTGTGTGTCTCCCTCTTATTACTGATTTTGATTGGAGAAAATTGAATTTTGTATATTATAACTATTGTAAGCACAGTAATCACTTGATGTTAAAAACTGGACAAGTACATATAATTTTGAATAATAAAATAAATGTTTCGATATAATAAAAGTTGTAGCGTTCTAACGAGTACAATGATGTATCATATAACAAAATTATTCTATAAATTATAAAAGTTTTTTCGGTTTAAACTTTTGCGACAACTACCTTTTCAGTTTCCACCTTACAGTATGGCCAACTTCCGACTCTCGCATTGATCAGATGACATGTTTACACACAGGTTGTTTACACATCAATCGTCCATGTGAGATTTAGGAGTTGGTCACATCGCAGAGCCGAAACTAAAGAGATAGTGTCGCCCGCAAAATTTTAAACTAAAATAACTTGTATAATTTGTAAAATATTTTTATATCATATATCATTATATATGATATAAATATCACATATCATACATCATTGTTATTAAAACGGATGCAACAACTTATATCGAAATATTTACTTTATCGTGCAAAAACTATACATATCTCTCCGTTCTCTAATATAAATAGATAATTTTTCTAAGTGATTACTATGTTTACAATAAAGTTTAATTAGAAGTTCTGTTATAGCAAATTCTAGTAGATGCACTCAGTGCGCATTAAAATCGTACACAAATAAAAAATGTGTTTAGTATAAATATAAAACCGGATTAAATCATGAAATCTTCAATACATTTTCTTGTGTTGTTAAGTAAAATCTGTATTTTATAATTCAAAATATTTGTATTTCACTTTTATACAGATTAAATCAGTGTACAATAGCTTTAATATGCACTAATACGCATTAGTACGTCCAATCGAATTCGCTATTAGTTTACAAGATAAAAAGGGGTGACCACTTATACGAAGATACCTTGTATAAGTGATTTATATTTAAAAAATTTTTTCATTTTCCGAAGTTGAGATAACGAGTACTTTATTCCTCACATCGAATTTATGTGTAAAATTTCAGGTGAGTCGGGAAAGATTATTTGGAAATATATCCCAAATTAGTACAAAATCGATATTAATCATATCTGCTATTTTTTCTTTTTTTTCCCCTTATAATCCTGTTAGCTTCATATTAAGTTAATAGGACTACAAGTTTCTTCTAAATGGCATATGGTACAAAATTATGTTTTGTAGCACAAATTAGCACAAAATCAGTACTAATTATATCTGCACTAAATAGTTTAATAGGTCTTTTTTTGAATTTGCTCGTTTGATCTGCTAGCTTAACAGAAGTATTTTATCTCTACAAGATAAAATCAAATCAATAATACGTTTAGACAAAAGTTGTTTAATCTAACAAGGTATAAATAATGGTAAAATTAATTTTGGAAAAATCGACTTTCATGGTCATGTGAAAATCATAGTCATTTTTTTAAATATAAAATTGTATAATTTTTACATAACATAATTCCACCAATTATTTTGCATATAACAATATTAAGGTAAAAATATTGAAAAATCAACAGTTAACAAAATACTTTATTTTGATACATTTTTAAATAAAATATCTAAAATTATTAATTTTTTGATAAATGCACCCTGACACTTCGATGCACAGAATAATGAGATAAATCAATTGGTACAAAAAAAATAGTTTTTAAAAAAATTATGCAATTTCCAATATGCAACTGCATCTTTTAAAAGCAACTATATATTCTTTATACTAATATTTTTTCTACCAATTGATTCGTTTCATTACTTTGTGAATAAAAATATTAAAGTATAATTATTAAAAAATAAATAGTTCACGAAATATTTCATATTTTATCAAAATGTGCCAGAAAATATTTTATAAATGTGTCAAAATATGCCAGAAAATATTTTATAAATTATTAAAAACACAACCAATAACGTACGGTCCAGTAAGATTCTTGTTTACAAATTATTGATTTTTCAATAGCTCTATCTTAATACTTTTATATGCAGAATAATAAAGAAATCATATTATATAAGAAAATTATACAATGTCAATTAAACAAATATTCATAACTTTCATATACCCATAAAAAATTAATTTTCTTAAATTGATTTTACCATTATTTGTTCCCTGTGGAACAAATAATGGTAAAATCAACTTAAAAAGGTTATACAACTTTTGTTCCAACATATGTTTGACTAAACTTTACTCTGCAAAGATAAAATGAGTGATAGATTAAAATGAAACACCTTGTACAATAGCTTTTCTAATCTAATTTTTAATATACATACATATAATAACATAATATTCTTGAAAACAAGATTTACCTGTTCTGGTCCTGTGAATTTTTTGCCGTCGCGCACCATATTGGCAAGCCAATAAGTGCGCCGATAAAGATTTAAGATGAGGCAAAGGGTAGTATCAGCCACTTCTTCAACTCCATAGCCAGGCACATTACATACTGCAATGCCAAGCTCACCAGCTGCTTTGACGTCGATGTTGTCTACACCGGAACCAATTCGAACAATAATTCGAAGCGTCTTAAACTTCTCCAAATCTTCTTTCGTCAGAATTATCGTATGCCACATCAGTGCACCCACTGCTTCATTTAATACCTGCGAATATCATTATATTATATTTATTTCCAAACATGTTGTTTTAATAGTTATATATAAATAATAATTTCAGAAAATAAGATATTAAATAGAAAATACCAAATATAGATAAGAAAAAATATATATATAATTCTAGAAAAAACATTACATATAAAATAGACGCTAAATAATATTTACACTAAATGTAACACTAAATGAGTTATAAAATAAAAATATATTATATGTTAAATATATATTTTAGATATAACCAAGCAAATATAACCACATATGAATAAAAATTAATAAATTTAAAATACTAAATAAAAAAGTTCAATTTAAATTAATTCAGGCGTTTAAGAATTAAGAGAATATTGAAAATAATTTAGAAATCAATTTAATATAAAAATTAAATTATTAATACATTAATTATTAAAATCATGTATTATTCAATATTAATTATTAATCCTAAAAAGTATATATTTATGTATAATTTTTTTTTAATTAAAACAAAAAATAACTACTTAAAAAAGTATTATGAAAAAGGGCGAAAACAAATATGAGACAAATGCACTATTGTTGGAACAATATCGTTGAATTTTTTACTTAATTTTAAAATTATACATATGAATATTTTACACGTTAAATTAACAATGATTAAAAAAATTAAAATATTTCAAAATGTGATATTAAAACATTTTATACGTAAAAATATACTTACTTCAACAAAAAGAGTACACTTGGCTAGTATTGTTCATCAAATGTTTTCTCTTACATGTATCAAATATATGCATAAATATACAGGGTGTCTCACACCTACCGAATTTCCTCTTAAGGACATATTCTTGAGATAATTTTGAGACGAAAATCCTAATACAAAAATATCGAGGCTACAATAGTTTTTTAATTATAATCAGTTGAAGATAGTGTGTAATTCGAAAACTATTATAGCCTCGATATTTTCGTATTAGGATTTTCGTCTTAGAACGTTCAAAAGAATCCAGAAATAATAATAGAGGCTCTAAAAGTAAAATGGTTTTCTACTTATAAGCATTTAAAGTTAGCTTATAATTCCAAAAATTATTGTAGCCTCGACATTTTCGTATTAGAATTTTCATCTCAAAATTACCTCAAAAATATGTCCTTAAGAGGAAATTTGGTAGTTGTGAGGCACCCTATATATTCTACATCAGAGATACAACATAAAAATTAGAAGTGCAAAATATCAAGATAAATATAAAAATTTTATAAATCATTTTTTTTTTTTAAATTGTTCTATAAGATATTTTGTACCAATTTGTTGTAAACAATCATTTCTTTAAATAATTTAACTTAAGATTTATTATTTATACCACTATATTTTTCTATCTCAGATATTTTAATTTTAATATTTTAACATTCTAATAGAAATATTTCAATATTAATTATTAATTTCAATGTTACATATGAATTTCAATTTGTAATGATTATTTTAAGTATATGACATCGCAACGAACAACCGGCATACTGACTGTGTGCTTCTTTTTTAACTTTTTTGTTATTAATTTTTTGTTTTAATACTTCAATATTCTATCTTGTGTAACTCTATTAATATGATACCAAAAAATGTGTTATATTCCTTAATACTGTAAAATATTTTGCCGTATTCAAATTTATATACAGAGTGTCTCACAACCTTTAACTAATATTTCTGGGAGTGAAAGAGAATAAAATTTAGAACTAAAAGTTCCTTTTCCAATTTTGGCTCAAACTATTATTTACCGAGTTATTAACTATTAAAGTTGATCAATTAAATTCCGCCCAGCTGGAGTATGCAGGAGTGAAGCATGCTATGGAACTCCTCGTTCTTATTGTACATTCTCCCGATTAAAATTAAATTTTATTTAATTTTTCATATTAATAAATAAATCAATAAATGCGTGGATAAATAAATAATTTATTCATTTATTGATTTAGTCGTTAATTTATTAATTAATATGAAAATTATGAAATTTTAATCGGGAGAATGTATAGTAAGAGCGAAGAGCTCCATAGCATGCTGCGTTCCTGCATATTCCAGCTGGGCGGAATTTGATTGATCAACTTTAATCATGAATAACTCAGTAAATAATGGTCTGAACCAAAATTGGAGAAGAAACTTAATCAAACTTTCATTCTCTTTCTCTGACAGAAATATTAATTAGAATTATAGAATACCCTGTATAATTGTTTTATATATAGTTTAATATTTTTAAATATATTTTTCCTATAATAGTAATTTTTTATTTTATTACAATGTTCTAAATACCTTTTCGTGTATTTCTGAAGTGGACTGTGCATCGCAGAAGGCAACAGTTGCGACGTCTTTGAGGATGGGCATTTCAATAGAACAATCACGGCCATCAAGAAGTGCAACCAGTGGTCGCGTTTGGATCGGTCCGTTGGCGATTGGACCCCTCAAAGTCTCCATACGAGGGCGTTTGGGCATCATCTTCCGTTTGTCCATCGGTCAGCAGACCGCCCCCCCTATTTTTATTGTTTGCACTGTGCGCTCTCAGTGTCACTACAAAGAAAAATTACTTCCCTCTCCCTTCTGCTCCAACAATAGTAGATGACAAAAACTATCTCGATAAGACACTCGCAATAGAGGTGTCTCTTCTAGTCCAACTAGTACAACGTTTTAGCACTCTCGTTGTTCTTTACGCTTTGTCACACTAACTGCTTTTGCAACACTAACTTTCGGTTGATCTTCGGGCAAAAACTGTTGAATCTCCAATACATCACGACTCAGTAAGCACCGTCTCCTAAAATGTATAAAAAGAAAAACATTAGTTAACCAAAGAAATATAAAATAGATATATCCTTTCTTGTCAGAACATATCACATTTATAAAATTATAAATTAATTGTAATTCACATTTGATAAGTTTCTCTCATAAACATAACTTATAGATAAATAACTTTAAGATCAAATTATAATATTTTGTTCGTTCTCGATTGACTTTTTTAGTTTTATTCTCTATAGCTATACGAGACTGCACTAAACTTGGCTTTCGCCAAACTTCAAATATATCTATTTCATTTTAAGTATGCATACTAGTTTGACGAACTATTCAAGTCCTATCAGCATCAACCAATTTTCTTCAATCATGTCTCTCTTTCTTTCATTTATTTTTAAATAATAGTTTTATAGTTATTTATAATTTTCATATTTTATTTAACAATATACATTTATATATGTATATTATTGAAATACAATTATGAAATTATATTATATTACTAATCACTACCCTTTTATAGAAATAATAATTGTTTGCTTTAATCAATAATAGCTGCCTTTTTGCAAAACATGTGATACTCAATAAAAAATATCAACTATACCTGTATTACACCTCCCTCGATATATCGCAAAATCATGATGCATAATGCACCTCTATAATTTACTAGATTTGTTGTATTTTATTGCAAATGTTATTTGTGTATCTCATACACACAGATAAATACTTCACACGCAAGTACATAACTCGTTTGCATGTATTAATTTGAAACAAACTACATATTGTTCCATCACACTCGTATCAATTATTTTCATAAGGAAGAAAACTATAGATAAAAGTAGAGATGGATGCTATTCCCCAGACAAACATCGACGATGTTACTCGCGTGGAAATACATTGGATTCGGCCATAGCGTCCGTCGAAACGAGGTGAAACGTTACTTGGTATATCAGTGATCTCATCGACGCTTTACGACTATTTAATCGAACGCAAACGCGATCTATAAACGAACACATTCGAACACATCTCAAAAGACACAAAGATACAAAGAAAGCGTCGCTTGCTCGAGCGGCGTGATTGAGTCGGTCACCACCGCTGCCGCTGCCGCCGCTTTGCGACTTTTTAGGTTACCTTGAAATGCGCCGGCTTAACCTGCGCAGTGCTAATAGCGCGTCCACTGGCTAGTCGACACGAAACCCGGACTCCGGCAGTCCGACCTTTCCTTGATTGCGATTTCAGGCAGAAGCGCAACGATAACGGGACGCAAACGTAAGAGCAACGTTACGAGGACAGACCCGCGAAAACGAGATTGAAATGGGAAAACCGACACACCGAACCCGCAAGCACCAACTTAGAGAAGAGGAGGAAGAGGCTCACAAATGCGGCACGCCACAGCGGCGCTCGCTTGCGCTCGCTCGTTCGTTCGTTCGCTCGAGGCGCTGGAGCTGATGTTTTTGATAGTGTTAATAGCGAGGGCGCCTTCTTCGAGTGAGTGAGTGAGTGCGAACGAGTGAGAGATCAAGCGCGCGCACGAAGTAGATCTGTTTCCAACCCGTTTTCGGCAGCAGCAGCGGCGGGGGGGGGGGGGGCGGAGAAGTAGTAGTAGTAATAGTAGTAGTACTGTAGTAGCAACAGCAGCGATGGCAGCGACGATTCAAAACGAATCATCATTGTGTTGCGCTCACAATAATTCCACACTTTCTGCAATAGTCTCTTCCTTTAATTTTTGTTCTTAATGTCAAATATTGAAATATATGTAAAAAAAAGATAATCAAGTGCAAACGCGCAAACAGTAAAGTTTATCGCAGACTTTTTAAATACCGTAGTTATTGTGCACCAATTATGTCATCAACGCGAGTGTCATTGAACAAAATAGCGATTAGTACTATTGTTGAATGGGAGCATTATTCCCTAAAAAAGAAGTTTTTTTTTTCTTTAAACCAAGATATTTTTTTTAACGTTTAGATTCCCACCCGAGTACCTACTTCCTAAGTATTATCTTTCTTTAATATTCAGTGAATAACGAGGATAAAATGACACCTGGGTGACACTCGGATGAATATATGAATAGTTTTGGAGAATTTAACAAAAAGTTTAGAAGAATTTTTTGGGAACTTTTTGAGAGGAGAATACAAAGAAATATCCAAGTTACGGTTAAAACATTGAGAGAATTGCAATATATACATATAGAAATAACTTTCGAAGTAACTTTTCAAACAGACAATGCTGGTGATTGGAAATCGATTCATAAAAATTATATTTTTATAATATTTTTATAATTGAACAAATAAATACTATTATACTTTTATTATATATTTCTATAACATACTGCACATTATTATAATAATAAATAATTACTATATATAATAATATTGTATCATGTAATAGAGAAAAATAGGATAATTGTGCACATTTTGTTTAGCACTTTTCCGATAAATGGAGCCGCTACCGCAACGAAATTTCTAGGCTAGAGATAGTTTTTTCAAATACAACCATAAATTATATAATTTGAAAATGTAGTTAACAGTGAGTAGTAAAAATGAGAAAAAGTGAAATTACATATTTCGATAGTAATTTTGACACCCAGAAAATAAGACGGTAAGTCCGTACTCTTATTTTGTTTATTTAATCGTACATACCTTAATAAAGTACGTTATTATATGCGTCTTTTGAGCAATTATTCATTGAATTAAGTTAAAAAATTTTTGAGTAATTGTTTTATAAGTCCTACCTTTGCAGTATAAGCAAAAAAATTAAATACTTATGTCCAAATTTTTACTGATCATTGACCATGTTATTTTGTCGATTCTTGCTTGTTAACAAATGTAATTTTTTTGACTGTATTAACACTACGAAACTTGCAACTTACACCGATAAAAATGGTGGAACCAATATGGCAAACAAAGATTGCGCTCTAATTATATTATAAATTTTCAGTGACACAGTGCATATTGGAACGTAAAAAAAAATTTCTGATAAAGTACTTACAATAAATTAGATAACAAAAATGAAATAATAAAATAAGTTAAAAATTAAATTGCAAATATTTAATACAATGTAATTTAACAGGCAAATACTGGGAAAACAAAAAATATACATATCTTTTTATAATAATATAAATATCTTTTTTATTGTCGTAAAATAATTTACCATTTTGAACGGTAAATTACGCGTTATCTATCCTACGCTACGTGAAGGCATCATCATTAATACAGGATTTACTTACATATTAATAAATTAAAAATTAATAAGTTACAAATTTTGCAGTGTTAATACAATTTAATTCAATTTGAGTCAATAATTTTCTGTCAAATTAAAAATGTTTTCCTCTTTTCTAAAACTAAATTTTTTTAAGTTGTGTCACTTCTGAAGAGAACGATACGCTAGATTTATACGCTGTGGCATATCATGAATTATGTATCACTTTAACGTATTCTATAATCTCTGCTATATTTTATATGTATAATTTTTTAATTTGCTTAAACGTCTCTAATCTGAGCATCAATCTCTCTTACTGAGGAAAAAAAAGATCTAACGAACATACTTTGCATATAATACAATGCGCAATGTAATAAGAATTATATATTTGTGCATAATTACTTTTCTTTCAATTTTTTTTTCAAATTAACAATTAACATATGCATTATATTTTTGCAAAATATCAGGTAGAAAATATTTTATTATTTTAACTTCTATTTTTATATATTTAATTTGCAAGATTGAAAAGTTACTTTGTAAAAGTAACTATTTACGATTGTTTTCTTTTTACTCAAAAAATAATTAATTATCGTTATAAGTTATCGAATCTAAAAAATAACACGTTATAATTATTTCAAAGGTAACAAGTCATTACTTTTCAGTTACTTTTCTCTTAATTTTGTGTAATTTTTGCATTATTATTTTAAGTATAAAAATCTTATATATATATTTCTGATATAATTAAACTATTTTACTTATTATACTAAACAATCAATTATGTGCTACATATTGTTTATAATAAATTAATATATATTTGGAATCAAAATTATAACAACAATATTAAGACGCGTTGATGACACGTGCAGTTCCACGCTCTGGGTGGTCGACTCGTGATTCATAGATCCGGGTTCGATTCCACCTGTGCTTCGCATATGCGGTTTTTCCGCATTTTAAAGGAGAACATCGCTCCATCTGTGAATTAAAGCACTAACTTGTTCTTCTCTCAAGAGGCAGTATTGCTCCAGTATAACCCTCTAAATAGGTTGGAAAACCAGGGGAAAGTAAAGACAAAGACAAAGGCCGGTATTCATAGTCATTTCTTATATTTAAGACCGTCTTAAGTTCAGTCTGAGGTATCACGAATCAATTAGAGGGCCGCATTAGCGTCTCAAGACATTACTTAAGACAACATATAAGAATCAACTATGAATACCAACCAAAGATTATGTATGAATGTGTAGATGCGATATGTTTGACTTGGAAGTAGCTATCTGCAAGCAGAAAGATATTAAAGACTGAAACTTGTGTAATTTAAAGTTTAATTTAAAAAATTTCCAAATTTTAAATTACATTAATAGTGTAATTGGGTATATAAAAGCGCATATATAGCACAAATTAATGCAACATAAAAAGAACCTTAAAAAGACAAGATTAAGAAATTAACTCGTGATGTCACGTATCTAATATGGCTGTCTCGAAGAACAATGTTGTGACCAGAGTTTCTAGATTGCAGACGTTGCTACATCAATATTGTGAGTGGTGGCGAGTGGGAAAGGACTGGAGAGAATAGCGTGGAAAATAGCGGGTGGATATCAATTGGACACCCACTCACAGTGCTTTAACAGTGGAAAATTCCTAGACATCGGTCCTGTTGTGAGTGGCCGTGTCCAATCGTAACGCGGTAAATCGAGATCTTCCCAAAAATAACAAGCTACGACAGCAAAAGAAATTTCTTTTTTCGCCGCGCTGCAACTCACTATTTCCTAGGTCATTCGCTCCACTCTCCCCCACCACTCGTAGTATTCATATAGCAACGTCTGCAATCTAGAG